GTCTTGTCACACCACCGTCCCTTCTGCAGCCCTCCAGCTCTGGAGACCCTGGGTGCGCCCCTGGGTGCTCACGTGTTTACAAGCCAACTGGGAATCAGAACCCAGGCTGCCGCGTGGCTTCCAGCTTGCGTGGCTGCTGCTGCAGTGGCCGAGCCTGTCCTCACCCTTGACAAACCTTCATCCTGTCACGGTGGGCTCCAGAAGTGGGAAATGGTGGGACCAGCAGCTAGCATAATGGCTATGTCGCTGGACTCCCATGTAGTCGATCGTGGTTTGAGTCCCGGACCCGGTGGCTTAAACTCACGCCGGGCGCGTGTGCGTGCGTGCCCAAGATCCCGAGAGGAGAATGGAGGAGAAGGGATTGCGGCGTGGCCATCCCCCCTGGGGGGTGATTTCTCGCTTTCTGTCTCTCTGTCTCTCTCTGTCTGTCTGGCGAGCACACGTGCCCTATAGCAAAAACCTCTCCAAAATAAGAAAAAAAAAAAAAAGTGGGAGGTGGTGGCACCAGTCACGTCTGCTGGGCTTGGAGGTGGGCCCTGCCACCCAGCGTGTGGGGTCCCTTCTCCCCTGCCCCCTGGCCTCAGTGTGACGCCTCTTCCCCAATGACCTGTCTCTGGGTCCAGAGACTGGACCTTTGGTCCAGTTTTTTCCCAACCTGGTCATCCACGTTGCGGCTGGACAGACCTCTGCTAATTTGCTGCCCCCTCGCGGTCCTTCCCTCACCAGCCCTGCTGGGGGGGCGGGGGGGTGCCCTGTGGCTCCAGGCCCTGTAGGAGCTGCGCCACCAGCCCAGGCCGTGGGCAGCGGAGAACCAGAGCCCGCGGGTGCTTGGGGAGCCCTCGCCCAGCCTGGAGGAAGCCCCCAGAGGCGCCTCAGGGTGGGGCAAAGTATGGAGGAGCCGCTTGGTCTGGGGGTGCAGAGGGGCACCGGGGGCCTCAGGTGTTGTGCTCCCAGATCCACGGACCTGCCTTCTGCTCCAGGGGAGGCCTGCGGGCTGGCGTGTGTCTGTGCCCGTGCCCCTGTCTGGTACCGGAAAGATCCAGGCAGCTCCTGGGGCCGGCAGAGTCCAGCCAGAAAGCCCGGATCAGAGACGGTGGCTGAAGAGGGGAGAACGCGGACAGGGCATCCAGCACCATCCACGCTGAGGCCTGCCGGCTCTGGGCTTCTGCAGCCCCCAGGGCAAGCAGCAGGAGAGGAGGGAGGCAGAAGTGAAGAGGAAGCGGGGAAGCAGGGCCTCAGTCCAGCTTCTGTGTTGCGGCCCCATCAAAACAGGTTTGGAGCTACTGCAGGGCCTTTGCAGGAGCCCAGGGAGCAGATGAATCTCCGCAGGTGGTCGGCCCGCCCCCACCACCAGGCTAAGGTGGGGAAGGCAGGGGCCAGGGCCTGGGTGCCTGGTGGCTGGGGGCTGCAAGCTGGCAGCTAAGGCTCCTGTTCCAGGTCCCTGGGCATGGGGTACCTAGTCACGCCGTCCCCACCCCCCAGTCTAATCTCCATCCCAGTCTGGGCTGCCCTGAGGCCTCAACACCAAGCCGGAGGTCCACAGCCTGCGAGTGTGGGGCCTAGAAGGAGCATCTTCCTCTGGGATGGGGGATCCCCAGGAGCCAGGCCAGCTCAGGTCCCGACTGGTTGGTCACTGGTTTCAAAAGATGAGTCCCCACAGGGCTGGGCCTGTCAGGGGAGCTTCAACCTCGGTGGGTCCCCACGCTCTGGCCTGAGTGCCTAAGGGGGGTTGTAACATCCGCCACCCGCTGTCACCATGTATCCTCTGCTGGCCTCGGGCTGGCCACCGCTGCTGCTCGCTCTCCGGGGTGTGGGGGGTCCCCCCATGTCTGGCTGTGACCTGCCACACTGTTTCCCTCGAGCACACTGACGAGGATCAAGAATGGGCTGAGAGTTAGCCTGGCTATGTCGCTGGACTCCCACGTAGTCGACCGCGGTTCGCGTCCCGGACCCGGTGCAACCTGGAAACAGGACTGTGAAACGGATTAAAAAGGGCCAGCTCTGTAGCCCATAAGCAAGCCACATCCCACAAGGCTGACTGTGGATTAAATCCTGGCCACAGCAGCCTGAAGAACGTGGCAGGCACTGCATGTGTGCCCCAAGTCCCGACAGGCTGGAGGAAATGGAGAAGAGAGTGCGACAGGGCATGGAGCTAGCCATTTAAAATAAAATAAAATAAAATAAAATAAGAATAAACTGTGGTAAACCAGCAGTTGCCAATGAGGAAGGAGGAGAGCGGGCCTAGCCAGGCTGGGTGAAGAGGGCCCAGGGTAGAGGATCCAGGGACCTCAGGGGAGGGAAAGGGCTCCCGGGGCCACGGCATGGGTGGGTGCAGCCTTGGCCCAGGCTGGGCTGGCTCTGAGCTGGGAAGTAACACGGGCCCATGCACAGCTCCACCTGCACACGCCGGTGAGGCATGCGGGTGGCTCGGCCTCGTGGGAGCAAGCCCTGGAGCCCACCGCGGCTGGGGGGCTCAGTGACGTGTCCACGTGGTCTCTCGGGTGGCAGAGCTGCCCTGATGCGTGCCCTGCCCAGCATTTCAGGTGTCCCTCGTTTTTGGGTCCTGGGTCACAGACAGCAGGAAACCCTGCCCAGTGGGTGGGGGACTCAGCCCTGCACTCCAGGGCCCGCTTCAGACTAGAGAGGGGGCTCCTCTGAGCTGCTGCCAGGGGCGGGCCTGGCCCAGGCGAGGCAAGGTGAGCCTGCGTACCACAACGCCGGGTGAGCAACCCAGGGGCCTCGGGGACGAGCCGAAGCCTGAGGCAGGGACACAGACACGCCGAGCTGCAGGCCCCAATGGTTGCGGGGCTACAACTCTCAGGGGAGACCCTCCTGCGAGGGACAGGAGGCGCCTTCCACAGCCAGAGGGCGCCACCGAGGCCGAGGCACATGACTGTCACTGCAGGGCTGAGCTGGGGGCCCTGCAGGACTGCCGGCGGCCTAGGGGGTGCCGTTTGAGTACCCCGACTGCCTCCCCGTGGGCTGACAACCCCTTTCTGGTCCCGAGTGGTCTACAGTCACTGCTTTCTCCTCTGCGTGCTGGCCTCCGCAGGGACAAGGGGGCTCAGGATAGGGATGTGGGGGGCTGGAGGGAAGACTGGGGTGATACCCCCCATTGCTGAGTGAAGGCGAGGCAGAGGGGTCAGCCCGGCCCCAGCAGCACTCCCGCCCGCTCCTCTCCCTTCTGCACCCTTGCGCAACCCGGAGCCACGGCAGGAGCGTGCAGGACGTCGCCGGGGGTAATTGTAGGTTACGGGAACAATCCGAGGAATTAAAATCATATTTTCATTGCACCATAAAAACATGCAAAGGCGGCGGGAAGGCGGCCCCGGGGCCAGGCGGAGAGCACCTGGGCTGTGGGGCTCCAGCCACGCCCAGCGCTCCCTGGGAGGAGGGGACAGGGCAGGGGCGGGCCCAGAGAGGGGACCAGGCAGCTCAGGGAGCCTGGAGCTGGGCGGTCCCCAGGGACAGCCAGGACAGAAACCAGCCAAGGAGTCTGGCCTTGAGCCCTGGGCATGGGAGTCCCAAGTGCGTGGCTCAGGGACACCCCATCTGCGCCTGCTGCCCTGCTGGGGATTCCAGTTATCCTGGCTCCGTGGCTGCCTGAGAGGTGCCCAGGCCCATTCCCTAACAGGGCAATGGGGGCCATGGGGACCCCCCAGTCGGGCAGGCACATGCTAGGTACCAGCCAGCCCTGCAGTGGCCTGGTGGGGCAGTCCCTGGGCTCTGCATGGTGTGTGTGTATCAGATCACCCTCTGCTTGAGAATCGGGCCAGACCCTTGCCCACCTGTATGGCACAGGCTGGGCAAACGGGCCAGACAGCACAGACCCCAGACAGCAGGGGTTCTGGAAAGAGCAGGTGGAGAGGACCACCAAGAAGAGCCTGAGGGGTCGGGAGTGAGTGGTTGGCCCGAGATGAACCTCCAGCTGCCAGGGACGGGCACCCCCAGCCAGCTGGGTGCACCGCAGGGCCCCCCCGGTGTGTGCTGGGCTCCGTGCAGGCTGCCCGGCTCCGTCATCACAAACAGCCAGGGAGGGCGAGTTCCTCTGTTGGCCCAGGGCAGGGGCGGCTCCCAGGGCTTTGGAATCCACAGGACCCCCACTGGCTGCGCCCCCAAAAGGGCCCGGGCAGCTGCCACTAGCAGTAGCTGACCCCCACGGCGGGAGAAAACCCCAGCCGGGCAGGGCCGGGTGCGCCACCAGCCGTGCGTTAAATGGGACACGGCTGATCTGGCGCTGCACTTGTCGGAGGGCGGGCCCGGCCCGGCACTTGGCGTCTTAATTGGGCGTCTGAGGGCTCCCGCACACGCTTCGCACCGCCAGAGCCAGGCTCCCGCGGGCCCATTAAGGTGCAAAGACATTCCTTTGTTTGCTGACAAGCAGGGTCCCATCCAGGGCTCCCGGGCCGCAGACTAAGTGATGTTTTCTTAAGGAAGACACGAGATTAGCTGCCGCTAAAGCCCCAGCACAAAGCCGGGCCCTGCCCGTGGCTGTCAGCAGCGTCTCTCCCGCGGTGATTGACAGGCGCTCCTCGGCCCATCAAGCCTCAATGCGCGGGATTAGCGTAAGCGCAGCCGACAAGCTGGCTTGGAGGCCACAATGGAAACGTAATGGGGTGACTGACGTTCGGGGACAGAAAGCCTCAGCCACCCCTGCCAGCTCCCGGCGTCCTGCCTCACCGCTGGCGGCTGTCCTGGAACAAAGCCTGAAGCTGCCGCCCCTCCCCAAGTCGGCCGCCCTCCTTGCTCCCAGGCCTGCGGAGACCACAGGGATGACCTGAGCAGAGGGTCCTGGGCAGGGGGCGCCCAGATGAAGCCTTCAAGACGGAGACCAGGCAGCTGCAGGGGTGGTAGCCGGGGAGGGGAGGGTCTGGGTCTGCCAGACACTGCCCGGCTGCCCTTTAACCCAGACGCTGCTCAGAGCTCCAGACAGGCCAGGCAGGACCCACCCCACCTGGGCAGCCCTGGGGACACATGGGAGACGACCTGGCCAACACCCGTCAGGAAATCAGTCTCTTTATTTACACCCCAAAGACACCAGGGAGCGTTCAGAACTGGGCAGCCCACAGGGTGGGTTTCTGTCCAGGCCGTCATCATCTGGCATCGGGGGCCTGGGGAGGGAGGTGGTGGGGAGGCGCAGGATAGGGGCTGGAACCCCAAGCCATCCCTGCAGGGCACACGGGCCGGCGGTTCAGAGGCACGGGTCCACACAGGCCATCTCGCGGGCGCTCCAGGAGGGGCGGAGCTCCAGGAGGGGCGGAGCTCCAGGAGGGCAGGAGCTTGGGTGGTCCTGCCAACGATGGGCGTGATCAGCAACCATGGAGGGAACCACGGAGGGATGGGTGAGAAATAAGCCCCCGGGGGCCAGCAAGTGGTGTGGTGGCTAAGGTGCTGGAATTCCCACAGGGCTGACCACGGTTCGAGTCCCAGACCTGGCGGCTTGCTCTCTCTCTCTCTCTCTCGGTCTTTCTCTGGCAAAACTCATGTGAAAATAATAATAATAATAATAATTAAATAAGATAATTAAAAAGAAAGAAAGAAGACCCCGGAGGGTGCCCCCACCCCCAGGGGCTTGGGAACGTAAGAATTGACAGCAGGCTTTTCACCAAAAGCCTGCTGGGGGGACTGTCCTGAGGAGTCAGGACACCCGCTGTCCACATCACAGCTGGTCCTGGCGCAGGACGGTGGCGGGGGAATGGGGTGCCCAGAGAGCCCCTACACCCCTCAGCCATTGCTCAGACCCTCCAGCCTGCCCCTGGGCACCGTGGGGAGGGGGTTCGCCGCTGTCTACAGTCTCCACCTCGGCCCCGGAACAGAGCACCCAAAGCATCCTGACCCTGAGAAGAGCGGGCGGCCATGGGGGGGCACCCCAGGATGGGTTGGACAGCACAGGCCCGAGGGCCCGCCTGCGCTGTCTACAGTCTCCACCTCGGCCCCGGAACAGAGCACCCAAAGCATCCTGACCCTGAGAAGAGCGGGTGGCCATGGGGGGACAGCACAGGCCCGAGAGCCCGCCTGGTCACGGCTCTGGGGGCTCAGAGCATGCCGTCTGCCCAAGAGCTGAGAAGGCCCTGGGAGGGCCCAGGGAGGGGGCTCTCCCTCTCAGAAGGGGACACAGTGAGTAGTGGACTGGACTCCCAAGGCTTCCAGACTCCTGCTCCGCCAGCCTGGCTTCTTCCAACTGAACCAGATGTGCAGGCTGTGCGTGAGGCAGCGTCTCCACCTTCTGGGCAAGAGGGAGATGCACGAGCCAGCCCTCTGCAGGAGTGAGGCTGAGAGGGGGAGGATGGTTTCCCGCCAGCCCGTGGAGGACTAGTGACTTGAGCACACCACACTCGGCCTGCCAGGCGATGCCTGCCAACCCCCATGCCCACCCGGGCAGGCGTGAGCTCAGCCTCTAGACGTCTCCTGCACGTTCAGAGCAGGGACAGCCCTGCGGGGTCGGGGTTGCTCTGCAGAGGGCAAGGCTTGGCAGCTCCCCTCCCAGCCCTGCTTCTTGGCACTGCGGCCTGGCACGGGCGCGGAGCTCACCTGTTCAAGGTGGTACAGCAGGTGTGGGCGGCCTGGCCACACACCTGGAGGGGGCCATTGCAGGGGCTCCCACCCCCCGGCCACATGCTCCCTCTTCAAACCCGGCGTCCGCCCCTCCCGCGTACCTGGATCTGGCCTCCGAGGAGCCTGGTGCCGGTGGCAGTGCGTCGCGTGCCCGTGGCCTGGCAGGGATGGGGGCTTACCCTCAGCAGCCCGTCACGGTGGGGTCCAGGCCCGAGCGCTTGGAGATGCGCAGCTTGACCACCTCCTCAGAGCAGGTGGGGTGGATGCCCACCGTCTGCATGACCTGCGCGTAGGAGGCCCCACACCTACACGTGCCGGCGGGGAGACGGGAGGAGTCAGCGCGGGGACATGCGTCCAAGCCACCCGTCTCTGGGAAGGGGCGGGCCTGGGAATCCCGTGGTCTCCTTGCTGCCCCCTGCCCTTTCCTCCAGCCGGCAGCCAGCAGCCAGAACCCCAGCCGACATCTGTGTTAGACCCATCCAGTCCCCACCCCGTGACCAGCCTGGCTCTCGGACCTGCGTCCCAGCTGACTTCGCTCTGGCCTGCCCTCCATGCTGGGCCATGGCTCTGGCTGGCCCCTCGGAGCCCACTTCTTTGCACCATCAAGGCACAGCCCTGCAGGCTACACCCGCCTATTACTGCGGCCTGCCCCCAGGCCTCCCTCCTGGCCTGTTTTGCTCAGTACCCAGCACCCCGCAGTCACATCTGTGCCCCCCCGTGTCTGCCCCACTACACAGCTAGCTGGCTGCTCCATGGGGGACTACACCCCAGCTCCAGCGTCCTGCCCCCACTGAGTGAGCACTTGATGGGGCCCGTGAGGGGCTCTGGTGTAGACCTGCCACTGCCCCAACAGGGAACAAGCCACGGGGCCAGGACTTGAACCACGGTTGACCACATAGGAGTCCAGCACTTGAATCGCTATGCCACCCGCTGGTCCATTATGATTGATTTTTAAGAGCTCTTTGCATATTGCAGAAATCACATTAATTTGCAGTCACATGATGAACACAAGCTGCAACATTTTTTTTGGGGGG